GGATGAGGAAAAAGCAAAGTCGATCAGGAACTGAGAAACTCACGATCCAAGAGGCCCGGCTCAAGGCTTTATACTCACAGGTACTTGATGACTTGACAACAACAACGACGACGGCGACGAATGCTTTTCTGACTGCAAGAAATCAATGCCGGCCATTCTTTTCCCAGTCGAACTTTTTTCTCTCTTCTAATTCCCTTCTACAAGAGTACGTCTCTCCAAGTCCCTTCTTCCATGTACACACACACCCCCCTTGACCGGGCAGGTGACTCGCAAAAGACGGGAGACGTTGTGAAGGAAATTTTGCATATTTTCCACCCTCCAGGGCCTCCAGGGGAAGCACGTCGACATGCATCCTTGCAGCTCTCGCCCTTTCGAACGAAGCTCCCGTGGCTTCTCGTCCAGTGTCTACTACGAGTTGGATCACGATGATGACTTCACCCGCAGCACAAATGGCGAACTATTACCAAACAGAAACCGGGCTAAGCCGTTTCGGGTAGGCAGCAGACTCCAATTAGCCTTGCTGATTGGATCACAGGCTTACAGCTCGAGGGAAGAGAGAGGCGGGAAGGTACCTATTCCTTCTCAAGTTTCTCCAAGTATATAGGTACGGAGTAAGGTAGGTACTACTGCGTAAGTATTGCGGTACCTGGCGGCGAAGGCGGCGCGGCGGTGGTGGTGTTGGCGAGTGCGACCGTCCCGGGCCTGGGTCCGCCTGTCCGCCTGGAGTAGAGGTACAGGAGGAAAGGGTACTTGCTCACCCTCATCGCTGCCGTATGCCCCATCGTACCTGACGGCGTAAGGCGACATTTTTGGCTGGGAAGCTGGGGCGGAAGCTGAAGCAGTGAGGCCTGGGAGCTGCCACATGGGGCACATCACATGCGCCAATGGAGGGGCACTTGGGGCACCAAGGAACCACCAAGGCCTCAAACATCCACTGGGAAGACCACGATGCCCTCCAACGGTACGTATCCAACGGTACGTAGATACTTCTTCCCATCAGATGTATCCGTACTTCCTTGTGCCGTTCTTTCTCGGTTATTCTCTCTGCAAAAAGGCATCGTGGGAAAGACCGAAAGCAGGTACAAGAGACTTGCCAGTGTACGTATCTGCAATTCTCCTTACATGTCACGGCTATTCGAGGCTCTTCAATCCACACAGCAGCGGTACACTTTCCAGTTTTTTCTTGCATTTTTTTCTCTCGCATCCTCTATTCGTAAGGATACCTTGCCAGGTACCTCTTTTCATTCGAGGTCCAAGTGTCGGAGCGGGCACCCGACGTCTCTTCAAACCTCATATCATACTTTTCTGTGTTACCCAACATGACCGGCCCGGTTGGATTGGGACTTGGGAGAGGGCACGAAAGGATGAAGCAGAGAAGAGCGCATAACAGAACCGATCTAAGATGAGCCATCTCGGATGCCAGGTCCAAAATGACAAGTCAAAGCAGCCAAACCCGATGGCGATAGCCTTCAACAAGGCATAAGGTCTTACTCACCGCAGGCAAATGTGTCAAAATCGGTATTGCCCAGCAGAGCCACACGTCCGGGCGGCCGGTCTCTCAGCGCGCGGCCTTGGATCCCGTGAGCTCTCGCAAAACAGCATTCCATGGGCCGTCCTGTGCGTACCCGGTTTACCCGCCGACCTGCTGCTTGCTGTGTTGTCAACTTGCTTCTGCTGTTGCATTGCACTCTCTAATCTCGTCAGTCACCTTCCCATTATCAAGACGCCCCGAGAGTTCGGCACTGGTAGCCGCCGTTCTATGTACAGACGAAACGACATGTACCCTCGAAATGATGTCTTTTTGCGTTTCTTTCCCAACAAAGCACAGGACTCGTTACGAAAAGACCGGTGACGGTAAGCGAAGGTACCTCTGTACTTTGGACAAGAAAGCAGATTACTCTGAAGAATACTGTCTATCACGCTGCGGGTAAAGAAACCCGTTTGAAAATTTGAACAAATCGTGAGTACTCTGTACCTCCTCTGTTTTACCGCTTATTCGCGTTGCAGCTCAAAACGCCCGCTTGTCAGGCGCCGGCCTTGCTTCGAGACGACTTCCCAGCCATTGCCCCTCTAAAGCCCCAGAAAAAAGAACCAACTTCGTCGTACCTTGCTCCATTGTAAGTGGTTTCCGATCATGTACCATGCTAGATACCCACGATACCTACTTTCGCAATACTAATGTATCTCATCCAAAGAGGCGTCATGTATCTTCTCATGTACACATACGACATTTACCTCTTTGTTGTGTACGTAGTCGTCGTACCTCCCCTTGTGAATCACGGCATGATAACAACAAGTCCCCCGGCCGGCAACAGCTCAGACCTCATAACAAAAATATGGACACTAATAGCAACAGCCATGTTCGTCCAAAGACTGACTATCAATCGCAACTGGATACGGACACAGGAACCGAGTTATCTAACCCCCCCAGAAAAAACAACACCAGTCTCCCGCTCTTCCCTTCCGGCGACCTCGTCAAGAACCGAGACTCTCTGTTTTCCATATTTGTCTTACCCCAGATCTTCTGCACAACTACACAGATCAACCAGCTCAGCCCTCCTTTTACACACGCACGCCCAGAAAGGCCCCCCAACAACAGTCTAGACCAGGACAAGAAGTAGAACCCCTGGGTCCAAGATCCGAGGGAAAATCGGTCAAGCCTGTAAAAAGATCACGGGACGGCAACAATGTTGGGGATGGCCCTTGACCCTTTCAGCCCCGAGTGGCCCGGGAGCGCGGCGGCTGATGTCTCCCTTTCCCCACAGCCGCTCTAGCATGGCTGTTGTTTGTTCCATCTGCCAACCGACGGGACCGGGCCCCCGAATCGTCGAGTTTCCATTACCCCCAGATTACTTGATCGTGCAGCCCGCGCCAGCGCCAGTTGCGACCCCGAGATGGCCACGGGACAGTCCGACCTGGCCCCATTGGGGAAGTTGGGAAGGACTCTGGATGATGGGAAACCTACAGTGGGGTGTCAAAGGTTCGTGTGCAGCGCACAGTATCCCGCAAAAGTACTACTTTTCAACAGCGAATAAAAATTTAAATATAATAGGAAAAGGAAGTTAAAAATCACTATATAACTAATTAACTACTATATTAATATATGCCTAAGTTGCACTATGTTTTCTTTAATTATAAAAGCGGTAAATAAATTTTTTAAAAAATAGGTTTTAAGAGATTTTAATTATAGTGGATTATAGGGCCTTTTAAGTGCGAATAGCACTGTACTTCTTAATAAATTCTTTTTTATTTTATATTCTACTTTTATATTATATTATAAAGAGCTAATATAACGTACTTTAAAATATATAAAAAATAGTTTTATATACTTTATATACTTAAGTATTTTATTAAAATTTTAAATTATATTATTTATACCTAAGTTAGAAAGATATTTATAGTAATAATGAGACGTAGTTAGTGGGCTATAGGTGACGCACTGGGAGGGTGTACACGAACTTTTGACACCCTACTGTAGTTCGTTTGGACAATGCCCCGTTCCCTCTGACTCTTGCAGCTTGCGCTTCCTCTGCAGCTTGCGCTTCCTCTGCTTCTGCTTTACCCCAGCCTTTCGGTACCGTACCTTGGATGGTGTTCACAACTCACGATACTCTCACTCCCTTTTCGAGTCTCGACTTGCGTAACAACACAGTCTATTCCACAGAATCTAGCCACCCCAGGCCGGGGCCCCGACGATCCAAATTGATGCCCCGCGATCCCGCATCGCCATTACCAAATGGAAAAGCCGTTGTAAAACACTGCCGGTCTCCAGAGGTCCTGAACCCAAGACTCCTTTCGTCACGCGGTCTGACAAGGCCTTTTGTTTCGTCCAAATTCGATTCTTCTCTCCTCCTTCCGGGAAAGTAACAAGCACTGCGCTGTTCCCCCTTCCTGCATACTAATATACCATGTGGATGTTATGGGGTAAGAGTTTGGGGAAACTTGACAGGAAGCCTGGAATGGACGGATTGTCCAAGTCTGCACTTTCAGGACTGACTCTGTGGATTCGATGCTCAGTCACGTAGTTGTAAAGGTTGAGATGTGAACCATGTCCCCATTGGAAGGGTCAAGAGACACGATGTGTCACGATCTTTCTCTCACCGTCCCTTACCCCGATTCACCTTTTCAGTCCACCGACTTCTAGACTTCACACCTCAAGGTGTGGAACACATACACGCACGCACGCACACGTCCACATTCCCGCTGCCAAAAAGAGGGGGGTTGAGTCCCGGAGACCGCTTTACCCCAACAACGCCTCTAGTCGCTATTGACAGGAGTGAAGAGATCGTGACTCCAATAGCACAGCCATAAGGGGATGGAAAACTCGGATCGTCACTTGCCAAGGTGCCTTTCCCCAGATTTTTGCCAGGTCCCGTTCTCCTTTCTGCATTCCCCATTCCCCAGGGAAAGCTCGGGGCAAGTCAGCCGTCACGAGTCTCTAGCTCGACCACGGACCAAGGAAAGGAAAAAAAAAAAAAACCGAGAAAGGTCACGATGCGACTTTTCGTTATTTAATTTCCTTCGCCGCGCCAGGTGGCCCGTCAAGCCCGGTTCGGGGGTTCCAGGTCAATGGCACCATTCCAGCCCCAGGTCACGATGGAGAGAGAAAGACCTCACCTCTGTTTTGGGTCCGGGGGTGTGTAGAGAGGCAGTTAATGACACATAGAAACGAGGATTACTTAGTGGTTCTGGTTTATTTCCAGACAATCAAACCACAAAATCACAATACAATAAAGTCTTTTTTTTCGATACTGGGGGTGTTGTTGTGTTTGCTGCTTGACTTTTTCACTGACCCCTTGCTTCTTATCGTAATGTTTACAAAAGCTGTTGCAATAATTGCGGCATCGTGCAAAACTCACTGCCGGCCGCCACGAACATGTACGAGTACGTAAGAAATATTTCCGACCGGGCTCCTGACCTATGCGTCCAGTCCCCCCCCTTCTCTTGCTCTTTCTTTCTTTCTTCGCTTGTTAGTTGATTGGATATACACAACGGGAAGAAAAACGAGAGGCCTCCTCTATTGTGCATATCGACGGGCGCATCGAGCCGCGTATATTCATTCCGATCCGGCAAGGTACCACGATCAGATAGCCCTGTTTTTCGAGTTTTCGAGCGTGTTGCTCTGGCAGAAAAAAAAAGTTTGAGTTGAGCCGCTGGAGAGAAAATGGCTCTTCCCAATTGAGTAACCCAGAGGCATTATTGGGCGGGATTTTCACGCCGTTTACGCCCGCCGTGAGGGGGGGCCTCTTGGATTGTTATCTAGAACTCGGAATAGAATTGGCTAGGGAAGACCAGCCATCGTAGTACTGGTGACCCGTCACAGAAAGAACATGAAATAGAACAAGTTGGTAGCCAAGCAGAGCCTCCCCCTACTCCATACACACGACTTTGGGCGATCACGTCGGAGGGTCGGGGTCTCCACCCGAAACTGTCCCAACGTCAAGTCAAACTCCGGCCAAGACAACCCGCGGAGTGTATTGTTAGGTGCAGCGGCTTTCCTGTCCTCGTAGGAGAGCGCCAATCAACCCTAGTCATGTCGTGTCCTTGCATCTGCGACATTCCGTTCCCAAATTCCATCTTTAGTAATTGGTTACAGAGTTTCGATGGAAAAAGAGGTACAATGCAGAACACCCGCCGGGGAAAAGCGTCATCTTCCTTCCATTGTCAGTCCCCTCTTTCCCTCCTACCTTTTGCAGAGCATTATTTCATCGGGGTAAGGTAATCGGTCGATTGTGAGAAAAGTCACCAAAGCGGCGTCTACTTCCATAACTCTACGTAGGTATGGCTTCAGTCCTCCATAGCCAGCCCATACCAGCCCGTCGTCCTCCCCCCCGCCCCCACCCCCTTTCGACCACTCCCCAGAGAAAACTTGCATGAGGCTAAGGGGAGAACCCGAAAGTGCGAGGATCATCCGACCACCCGGGCGAGCAAGGGGAAACTTTCCAAGGTGTTCGGGTTGGGCACCCGGTGCTTATCTTTCCATGGCTCTGGGAAGACTTGCTTGATTCTGAGAAACCACAGAGAGTAGTTCCGTGTCACAACAGATGATAACGAAGAGAGAAAGAAAGAAAAGCGTGGCTTGAATTCGAAACGGGCCTCCTCGGGCCTAGGCTGGCCAGACTTGCTTCGGGATCTGCAAGGAAAGTAAGCCCGGTCAGTCTGCTGCTGCTGTGTATGAATACTTCGTACATTGATATCCCGCCTAGCGCCCGCAGCTGCCGAAAAACCCCGTGCCGTGATTCCTTCCGTGGAACACTGAACTCCGTCGGAGGAGGGTGAGTGTGGCAGCATACTTCCCACCATCCATTTTCCGTCGCAGAGTCACCTCGTCCTCCGCATCACCCGCCGTGGATCCCCGGACGCTCACGGGGAGGAGGGGGTGACGGACTCGTCTTCTGGCTCCGTCCGACCCCGTGCTACCTACCTGACCTTCCACCTCCCACCCTCTCCATCTAGTCGTACATAGTATAGACTCGTATGTATTCTGTTGGGTCCATTCATGTGGTCCTCCTTTCCCCAAAAAGGACTCCATCTGGATGGAGTGTAAGACTAGTCCATCAGGTACCGCCATCCACGAGAAACAGGCAAAACTTGGAGGGGCGAGACAAAGACGCAAGCCCGCCGCCGCCGTCCGTACCTGATTTACCTTGCGCCTCGAGGCTCAAGGTACCGACCAGGCCCTGTCTGGACCCAAACGATCTCGTGTGGCCCCCAGACTCGCGGATTGCGGAGGGTCGTCGCCAAGGGACGAGTCAGCAAAACCCCGCATGTGGCCAGTCTATGGGGTAATGAGGGGGTAATACCGGGGTTTTGAGGGGGTAATGAAAACTCCCATATTTCGTAATCCGAGGCGTTTAGCTCGAGCACGTTATTGTTGTTTTTGATGATGATGGAATGGAACAGAAGTTTTTTTTCTTTCTTTGATTGTCACGATGCAGGTTTTTGATATTTTTGAAACTTGTGAGATATATGCCGGTACAAGTAAGTGTACATTGACACAGTTAGACAAAGTATAGGGTACTTGGGTAAGGTACATGTCAAGGATCGAAGGAAAGTACCTTGATTTAATCGAATTCACATCTTTGACTTCGGCATCACGATACATCACCAAGTTTTCTCAAGGTCCACTAAACCACAAGTTTTTGGAGAAAAAGAGGATCCTCTCCCCCTCTGATGCTGGAATGGTGATTTCTCCATCGTCTCACCTCTTCCTCCCTCTCTCCAACTGTTTTACATGGTGGGAACACCTGATGCTCCCTTGGTCTCTGAGTGGGCAGCTCCATCCCAACTTCAGGTACCTATCCACATAGTCATCCAACTTCAAGTGGTTGTGGTCGTGGTGATGGTCACTCGGTGGTCACAAAAGATGGAAGGTGGTGGTGAACGTTGCCAGCTGCACGGCGTGGCCCCGCCAGCCGGAGCTCCATCCGAACCCCTCATTGGAGGAGGGGCGCACGCGCGGGAATTATTCAATGGAGCATCATGACTTCACTCGTGTTTTTGGTTGGAAAACACTGCTGACCTCACTACCTCTGACCCAACGTGCATCATCTTGTAAGCCGTAAACGCAGGATATCGAGGCCAGCTCGTTGAATCCAAGGATCTTGACACACACGATCAAGGGTTACTGCGACACTGCTATTCAAGGTGAACCCGAGAGAGAGTAGATCCAAGACACATTGACGACCATTTCGATTTCCCCACCCCCTCTCTCCAACCTCAAGCCAAGGTCGGAGCAAGAGGTTGTCCTACCTCATCTTAGTCAAAGGTCATCCACACTATCTCACCCGATATGGACCCTCTCCTCGACGCTTCCATCAGGCAACGCGCCGAGGCCCTGGATCAGGAAGATGCGCTGAGGCACACGCGGGACGAGTTCGTCATCCCCACGAAACAAGACATCACCAGCAAGACCCTTGCCAAGAAAGGTCAGCAATTGGAGGCATCATTCTACTTCATCAGAAGACACCTAGCTCCCTTCATTCTCACTCTCCCTAACTCCTTCACATGCTACTCCTCACACTCAATGCCTCTAGACTCTAGATTTTGGAGCTAACATCCTTCTCCAAGGAAAAGATGACGGCTCTGCCACATCAGAGGCCGGTCAGCAGAAATGCACCTACCTCTGCGGCAACTCTCTCGGTCTGCAGCCTAAGCGCACCGCCGAGAGGATACAGCAGTACCTGTCCACCTGGGCGATGCAGGGTGTCCAGGGACATTTCAAGCCTTTGGAAGACTCCCCATTGCCGACATGGCTCGACGTAGACGCCAGGGCGGCTAAGATGATGGCCCCCATTGTTGGCGCTGAGGAATCCGAGGTTGTCGTGATGCAGACTCTGACGGCAAACCTCCATCTTCTCATGTCGGCCTTCTACAAGCCCAAGAAGGACGGCAGGCATAAGATAATCCTGGAGAGCAAGGCCTTTCCGAGTGACCATGTAAGTCAGCTCTTTTCCGCAAACTTAGACAAGGGAATGGCACTAACAGCTCATACAGTTCGTCGTGGAGACCCAAATCAGACACCATGACCTCTCCCCGTCAACGTCAATGGTCTGCATTGAGCCCCCCTCAACCGCCGTAGAACCAACCCTCGCAACCCAACACATCCTCTCCATCATCGAGGCCCACGCCGCAGACACGGCTCTCATCCTCTTGCCCGGTATCCAGTACTACACCGGCCAGCTCCTCGACATCTCCACCATCACCGCATTCGCGCACAAGCACGCCATCCCCATTATCTGGGACCTCGCCCACGCCGTCGGCAACGTCCCGCTGCACCTCCACGACTGGGACGTCGACGCCGCGGCCTGGTGTACCTACAAGTACCTCAACGGCGGGCCGGGCTGCATCGGCGGCGCGTTCGTCAACGCGCGGCACACGGCCGTCACGACCTCGGTCGAGGACGCCGACTCCGAGAAGGGCTACGTGAACCGTTTCGGAGGCTGGTGGGGCAACGACAAGAGCTCGCGCTTCGTGATGGCGACAAAGTTTCACCCGGCGGCCGGGGCGGCCGGCTTCCAGCTGAGTAACCCGAGCGTGCTCGACATCACGTCGCTGTGCGCTTCGCTCGAGGTGTTTGAGCTCGCGGGCGGGATGGCGCCGCTGCGTGAGAAGTCGAAGCGGCTGACGGCGTTCCTGGAGGTGTTGCTCCAGAACTGGCTCAGTTCCGATATGTTCAGCATCATTACGCCGTCGGGGAGCGAGGAGCGCGGAGCGCAGTTGAGTTTGAAGCTCGCGGATGGGCTGTTGGATGGTGTGATGGAGTACTTTGAGGAGGTTGGGGTGGTTATTGACGAGAGGAAGCCCAATGTCATCAGAGTCGCGCCGGCGCCGTTGTATAATACGTTTGTGGACTGTGTTGATTTTGTTGAGCACTTTGGCAAGGCTTTGCAAAGGGCCAGCAAGACAGCGTAGTGGTTAGACTCGTGTCAAAGATGTCCAACATCAGACTTTCCACAGAGAATATAGGAAAGACTCGACAGAGTCAAATTGTTCGAAGATCATACCTCGACGGTTACCAGGTCAGCCACCCTGACCCGCGCCTTGCCTTTCCAAGCCACATCACAAACCTTCTCATCCGATACCTCTTCTGCCTATACCGCCCTGAATACACAACAACAAGCCTTCATTTACCCCCTCAACCCAATTCCTGTCACCAGCGCAGCAGGCGCCCCTTAGGCCGGGGGTCAGGTCAAACTGTGGTGTGGTGGTGGAACGGTTCATGGTCAACAATCAAAACGCCAACCAGCCTACTCGACGACAGGCTTAGCGAGTTCGAGTCCCAGCATGAGCACCAGAGATGTAGCCCCCAGTTCAGCACCGGGGGGGTGAACTCTTTTGGTTTTTTGAACTCATGAACGATTAGTCATTATTGCTGTTGATATGTCACGAGTCTTGAGGGATGTATTGTCATAATTATTAGAGCACTGCTCTCGAGCACTAGAGTGAAGAAGCACTCGCTCAATGCTTCCTCCGTTGTTTCTTTCTCTTCATAAATTGACTGACTACGCTCCTATTTTGCCAAGTAGGTGAGAGCTTCTACTTCTGTATATGGCCTTAGACGCCAGGAATTGAGGCTTGAAACAGTAGACACCCTTCCAGGAATGCCTAACTCGAGAGAAGACGATATCGGGGGCCATTCCGGGAAAGAATAACTCCCATCTTGAGGTTCAGCTATGTACTTGATAACAAAAAAAAAGATACTCAGATATCTTCGTAGACGGCCTCCTCCTTCTTCTCAGGGTCATCAATAAGATAAGCAGAGAACAACCACAAAGACCCCTCTGGTCCAAGGAATCCACCTGCTCTTCTCCCTTTGACACTATTCACGTTCCTTCTGAGAGCCACCTCATGCCCCTTTACCCATTTGCTCCTTCTTGACCATCTCACCTTTGGGTACCTGAGGCACTCTGCTCCTTCCATCTGAACTTTTGACGAGAAACGCGTACGCGTGACCGCCTCACGTGGACGTGAGGTCGTTGATGAGGCGGTGGTTACCTCAGAAACGGCTCAGGAGGGCGGTCAGAAGGAGGTTGGAGGGATGTTTATTACCTCAGGGCGGACCGATCCTTCTCATTTCGTCCGCTCTTCATCTCTACACCTTCCTCACCGCGGAAATTGTTTACCTTTCCATCCTTCCATCACCACATCACATTGCTCAGAGACCCGCGCAAATATCACCAACCTCCAACTTCCACGCAGCATATTCTCTTACCATTCTTACTTGCGCAGTGCTCAGAGAATCATTCCCTGAGTCTGATCTTGTATTTTTGGTGTTTTGGAGTGTCGCCTTTTTGGTCTTTTCTTGCCATTCTTCCTGATCCCAAGTTTGGCACATTGTCGCGCCTGCGCGATCGCGTCTATCTTGAGCACCAACTTTCCGCGCCGAATCCCCAAACAACGAGCTTACTTCCGGAGCACACGAGAGATACCATCATCGGAAATCTGCTCGCTGAGTGGTTGTTCAGTATGGAAGACAACTTCACTCACCACGCTCCTGTGGTGTCTCGTCGGTCATCAGGCCAACAGCAGAAGTCTCTTCGACATCCTGCCGAGCCAAGATACACGTCTCTTCCACCCCTTCGACCTAGCAATTTCACACCGCGTCACTATTCTATCTCACAGGGTAGTTCATCGCGTGAGCGCGGTGCAGAGGCCGAGTATCCTCTACATCGCACCAACTACATCCAGCCATCGCCAGCTTCTCAGTCAGCCTCTGAGGGGTTCAATAGCTCTTCGGCAGCTTATCAGCAAATTCCAAGAACTCCGTTCCCTGAACCTCCAGCCATGGCTTCTTCACTCGGTCCGATTCAGTCGCAATCGCACTTTCCGTCAGCTATCGATCACGATAGGCATAGCATTCTGGGACCACACCCTCCTCCCAATGCTCAATGCACAGCTGGCCGGAACGCATCTTCTCTATCATCAACCGAGTTCTCTAGAAGCTATCGAGAGAATCCTTCGGAATATCGTTTCCAGAAGGCTTCTACCGTGTTGAGTCTACACGCTACAGCCAAACCCAGGGCAACATCCCAGGCTGCCGACAGCCTGTTCGTCGATCAAGGTGGTTTGCATCGCGGTAACCCACTGCTTGATAACCCGACTGCACACCTTCACGCACCTTCTTCACCTTTGAGAATTCCGTCGCCTGCCAACGGCGACCATATTGGACACCTGAGATTTCTAGATAAGCTGCAGAGTCGGGCTTTCAAAAGTGGCTTCTTCCCTGACACCGAAGAACGCGAGAGCCGTGGAAGTACCTCCAAAAAGCCTACAACTACAGCTGCCTCAGCCGACGGCCTCCAGGAGGGGATTGCAGCAATCAAAGTTTCTGGCTTCATTCTTGAAGATGAAGACGAAGAATTCCAAACTTCTTCCAGCACGGGTAGACAGAAAAATACACAAATAGCAGCTAGCAAGGCCAAGACTACTTCCCGGCCTCGCACATCATCGTTATCCTCGACTCTAGTCGGTCATGATATCGAATCTCAAGGCCTTCCCAAGAAACAATTGAAGAATACTGATGCAACACGCCTGAATTTGGACACCACCCACAACACCGGCAAAAAGGAAGATGTGGCTACCGCAAAAAAACCGACTGTACCAAAAAGCTTCAGTCTGCTATCTAACATGATGGCCAAGGCGCCCAAGCCTTCCATCAGAATTGTTACCGTTCCGAAGCATGAAGTCAAGCCTATCCGTCGAGCCCAACGTCAGGATGATACCTCTTCAAAGACCTAGAACGATTTGAAAGAGAACACTCAGTCGACGACAACGAAGGGGTCGAAGCGAATCCGGGATGATCTTGCACCCGACCAGTCGTTTCCGGCTCCAGCCACCAAGAAGCAGAGAGTGGAAACCCCTGCGAAGACCTCATCAACCGCAAAGGCGTCTTTTGCTACACGGGGTCGGTCTCTCCGCACAACACCAAGCCAGAAGCCGAAAGTGTTGAATCAGCGTAGAATGGACCCCGACACGTTGGGCTTGGTAGCCATCAAGACTTTGCCAGGCCCTTTGTACGAACCCGAACAACCCCTTTCTGGGTTCGCCAATAGCAAGTACGAAGGTGGATACGACAGTGACGACTCTTTTGCTTCTCTTAGCAAGAATGCTCCAACTGGCTTAACAACGGGTAGGCCTAGAAGCCATACACTCCCCAACTCCAAGACAGGACGTACACCCAACTATGGTAAATCACCGACGTTAAACTTGCTCCGTTCTAGAAGTGAGTACTGCACAGTTTTCATGATTGCTCGATTATGAGTTTACACAAGCTGACCTTCTCGCAGGAAGCGACTCTAGTGCCCGTGATCCTGCCCCAGCCCAACCTACCACTGAACGTAGTAGAAACGATCACTCGATTACTGATCGCAATTGTCCCATATCAAAGGGTGAAGGAATGGATCGCCATCGCCAGAAGGACCGGCAGACATGTAGCTCCCACACGCATAGTCGTATAGGACGAGCACAAGTGCAACTGGGAAACAATCCCCACACATCCGAAAGACAGCTTGTCGAGGGACTTCGATCTGCCGGTGGTTGGCATACGCCTGTCTCCAAGAGAAGCGCCTCGTCTATTCTCAGCCCGAAGTCAATTGAGGATCAGGAGACAGAGAAGAAGCGCAGACGAGACCAAACGGCGCCGCCTCGCACTGAAGTGAACAAGCATGAAGTGACTCGGGGTTCTGAACGGGTGATGTCGTCTCACGGAAACCACGTTCGGCCTCGGTCGGCAGTGCTCGAACATATCATCACCATCGCGAACAGATCGGGCGACATGTCTGTGGCTAACACTAGCGACGCAAAAACGCGAGTTGCAGATGAGAGGCAAACCCCTGAGGCATATGCCGAAAGCGTGGAGGATCACGTCAAGATTCTACACCGAGAAATGGGACCTATGAAGAAGCAGAGAATGAAAGGATTGGCCAAATTGGGCACACAGAGGAAGATGAAGAAAGAGCATCACGACGATTCTTCAGCTCTTTCGGGCGCCACAGCCCCGAGCAAGCGAGCAAGCTTTCTTCCAAAGTTGTGATTCACGAACGATGTGTCTCTCATGGGTCTCCATGATGTATTGCAGCCTCAAACTTGCTTCCACAGGATGTCTGAAGCTCTGCAATTGATAGGCTGGGGGGATCAGGGCGGAGATCAAGCCCTGTGATGGTGTTGTTGGATGACGGTCGTGGACAGATTGCATGAATTACACCACACGCTGTGGGATTGCCTATGGGTTGGGCTGTTGGAATAGGGAAGAAGTGTATCAGTATGGGCTCTGTGGGTGTGTTGGCAATAGGCTATGAGTGCATGTCACTATTTCCAGGTTGAGAAAACAGGTTTAGTATCCCATAACGAGAACCAGATGTGAGTGTGACCCAGTATCCAATCTGCCAACATGGGAATAAGACTACGTGAAGTGATTTAAAGAGACAGCTGAGTTGGAGCATGTCACGTTGCCCTTAGTACCCCTATTTCTATGTCAAGATTCCATATTCTTGAATGAAGTCTCCCGTCGGCAGGGTGCTGCGATAATGCAATTTCTCGACTACACAGGGCAAGGCATACAAATCCGTCTCTACAGTTGGCTTCTATTCTTACACTTTTCAGACTTTTTTCAAAGCCCACAATTTGCAACTTTGGCCAAGCATGGCATCGCAATAACCGGAGCAAACACGTATGCTCGGTGCAACGAAAAGGTACGGTATACTCACAAACAAGGAGCTCATACGGATTCTCAACTAGCAACTTCAAGTTGGAGAGGAAATGTTGTCACTGCGGAAAGTGACCGGCCGAGTGTCAAAACGATATCAAGACTTGCTCGGTAATGGGCAAGCAGGCGGGCTACCCCGACACGATCTGCAAGAATGAACTGCCGGCTGTCCTTCTGCTTACATGGCACGCCTGCTGCGAATTAAGGCTGAAATAGCCTCTTGGCTCTCAAGGCAATGGTCTCAGTTAGAGTTTAGACAAAGCTCGGTAGCAACCGGTGCGCGAACTAGTCCAGTTTGTTCGCATTCGCTCTACAGAGACGTGGGGGGTTTAACAGAGCAGAGAAGCCCGATGTGCAGCGATGAAGCCCGACACGCAGCTCTGGTGCGACGACGAGGACGGCCGGAGATAACGCAGAACCCAAGGTGAGATGAGGTCGGTTCGGAGCTCGGATGGGCGGGTAATCTGGATGGTGCGCAAGGTTCTCCCAATCTGGAGAGTGTCCGTACGGTTCCCTAGAGATGTTTTCCCCCCAGACGAGATCAAGCCAGCTCCTGAAAAGAAACAAGAGGCATCAAGATCTTGAGATGACAGAGCGCACACGCACATGAGATGTCAAGGTTTACTTTGAGCACCTGGGAAACCCGGGAAGTGGTAGATACTTGGTTGGTAGGTTCGGATTCTGTGAGCGATGTCGGCACGGACGCTCTAGCTTCGGGAAGCAACTCAAGTCCGTGGTCAAGAGGGGTCGCTCGGAATGATGGCGAATGATTTGCGGTTGAGCTGCGAGCTGCGAGCTTAAACACAAAGAGGCGGCAAACAGAAAAAGAAAAGGGGCACTGGAGGAGGGACTCGGCCGAGCGAGCCGTCGTTCGGATCCTATTAATGTAGTGTAAGCCTGGCGTAGGGGAGCGGCGGGCGTCAGATCGGAGAGGCTCTAGCGTCGAAGTCTATCTGGGGTGGGATTTTCGACAAGAGAGGGAACCTATGGAAGAGATGGGCAGTTGTCCTTGCCTCTTCCGGAGTAAGCAACGAGCCAGTTCTTCCATATTAGGTTTGGATGTGCGTTCGGCCGTGGTTCAGTGCGACGGGTGACCGGTTGATGGATGTTTGCTAACGGGGTCTCGGACTCTTGGGAAATGATGATGGGACTTGTTTCCTCAGGAGGGCACTGCGATTGGGTCCCGGAGAAAGTTCCGGATGCTTCGTGTATGAATAGTGAGTTCTCTAATGCTGAGAGGCATCACATTATGAGCTATGAATGGACGGACGGGGACGGTGTTAGTGAGTTTTTTGAGATGAACGATAAGATCTGGCGTGTCGGTCTTCCTCACTCTGTCTCCAAAGTAATGTGAGACGGAAAAGGTTGCGTCTCATATCTAATACCAGACAATAGTGGGCGAGGTATCAAGAGGTCGTGCAATGCTCCGGGATAATGTAGCATATACTAGGGTCGATGGTGACATGAACGCCAGGATAGAGGCGTTGTCGGTTTGGGATAGCGCTGTTTATACGAGATGGTCCGAGAGGTTCGATGTGGGCGCTCTCAAGAATCAAACGACAGAGAGAAACCTCCGCGGACTTTCTGAGAGAATGCCAAATGTGACAACCGGAAGGCTGGGTCCTAGGTCTATCTTCGCGGCCCAATTTGGTGTTTATCCTCTCGGTAGCGCGTCTACTGGCGCGAAACGTTTGCCATGCGCGGATTGGCGACACCGCACCGCACCGCAAGAGCTAGCCTCGACGCGACACAGGTTCGCGATAGACGAATGTGGATGTTCTCTAGCGTCCTGCCCGGATGGATCGGCAGAGAGCCTGAAACTCACACATCAAGCGGAGTGTCATTGGGGGCCGTTTGATATTCCTCTCTCCATTGTGTCGTGACTGGACCTATATTCCTGGGAAGTGGGATGCAGTTAAGTCACATTCTTGAATGTTATCCATCAAAGCTGGATGTTTCAGCAGAGGATAAGTGGCCAAGTAAGGAGGAAATTTGGACGATGTTGAGGAAACAACGGGGTGGCTGTGCCGCGGTACAGAGTTGCGATGAACAATGTTGGATGGGTAGCCGTACGCTGTACACAGAGAGTAAGGACGACGGCCAGACGGCCAGAGAGGTCAAAGGACGAGGAGAGGACGAGTCGAGAGCCCAGAGGGAGCCGAGGATGATCGACGCAGGGCTCAATCTGACGGGTGCTCTTATCGGGGCCTTGGTCGATTCGCCTTCCCTTGCTGGCAGCCTCGCTGAGGCTAATCTGCGTAGCCCTGTAGGGAATTCTGTTTTTAAAATTGGGGGTCCAAGGGACTGCAAATGGTAGCTTGGACGTGATGACAGCAGGTTTGCTATAGAGTGCCAAGACGGCGGCCTTGGACCTAAGTTGACAAGCTTGGAAGCTTCGGCGGCGGCGGGTGGGTGCTTATCCATAATGTTAAATGATGGAAGGCCCCCAAGATGATTAGTCGCGCATATTGATATCGCTGGCTGGGCCTTTCGATATGACGGCGACGACGTCTCTGTTGTCTAAAATGCCTCATTTGCGTGCTGGTACAAGGCTACCCGTACCCATCGTCATGAGTCAAATGGAGCAGCTGGGGAAGTGTGGGAACTGATTGCAAGGCGTTGAACGCGTAGACTATGGGCGATGGAGGCCTAGACTGACGGAACCCCATCCGGTATGCACAATGGAAACGTAAGGTATTCGTAGAGCGCCATTTGTTCCGTTTGGACAGTAAGAAAGCCGGTAACCGGACGCTTTTGATGTCACTTGTCCAGTCAATTCGGGTTCATTGGACACGGCAAGCTGAGTGCTGCATTCGTACAGTATAAGGTAGAGTTGTAGTAGGGCGATAGCATAGGCGGCTTGCTAGGTTCAGCGTCCAGTCGGGCAATTTTCTTTGCCAATTGGATTTGGGGGTAGCCGAACGTAGAGCTATGGATGGAGCAGCTAAGGAGAATACTGGGTCGATTAAGCAACGTTTTACAAGGTGAGGTCGTGTAGATGAAGTAGCTGGCGTGTTTCTGGAAGAGAGTTTGCATATTGACGCTTGCCGGTATCAACCCTGAAGAGGCGGTTTGGGCGAATCAAAGGTGCGGGGGGTTGGACGGTCGGGACACTCTGCCGTGAAGCAGGTTTAGGTCGGGAACCCCTTCCCACGATGCGTGGCACGCGGTTGGCCGAGGTTCCTGGGATGTTTGAGGTTAGCAGAGATGTTAAGGTCAGGCAAGCCAGGACGGCGGTTCGTCACTCGTGTGTCTCGACGGAGGGGAAGGTGATCCAGGTCATTCCATACAGACTGGAAGACAAGAGCGGGCAGTGGTTGGGATTGAGCAATGTGGTTGGTGGAGGACTTGACGGTGCTTGGACGGTAAAGCAAAGAAGAAACGGCAAAAGCATCTGATAATGACTTCACCGCATGGCTCTCGCTGCGGGTTCCTGACTCCCCCTCCTCGTGCTCAGTGCTCGGCCCTGGTGTTTGTGTTTGTCTGTCGAGGTTAAAGTCAAAGTAAGGTGGTACTCACCCCGTTGCCGTCGGGTATTCGTACGGGATACTTGAGCTACTTCAAGGTAAGGTACCTCAAGATTGAGATAGGATGTAGGTACATAGCCGCGTCGCTTACCCTGGCGAGAAATCAGATTGTATTTGACATGAAGGTCGTCATTTCAAAGGGGAAAGGCGAGATAAGGCAAGATACTACGGGGTATCGAATGGTCATATTTCTTCCTTGCTGCTATGAGAGTCTGGGAGACCAGCCTGAGAGGTGACTTCCCTCTCTGGTATCTCTCATATTCCGGAAGTTACGGTGGCAGGGCATCACGGCGTTTTGGAGGGGTGGACGGTGGACCTTGGACTGAACGGGAAACGGGAAACGGGAAACGGGAGAGTCGAGGAGGATAATCCACTTATCACTTAGCGATTGGTAACGGCTGGGCTGCTCGGTCCCAATCACCGACAGAGAGGGGCAGCGTGCCAATGTTGCACCGGTTAGCAGATATCGGGACCGTTTTTCATTTTGCATGCCGTCAAAAATTGGAAAAATCTCTTGTTTACCTGGGGTTGTTTTCCCCCTTTGTCAAGTTATTCCGTTGTTTACTTTGATTAACCTGGTCATCGTTGGGTAGCACAAGTTCATGGGGGAGATGAGGAACGCAGATGGCGCGGCTTCTGGAACATGCCACTGATGTTTGATGCAGCGGGAGGGAAAAACTCGTCAGCCTCTTTTGGGCACTACTAGGTACCATGCACACAATATGCAGTGTGCGGAGACTGTTTCTGAGAGAGAAGCAAGGAACTGGTGGAAGCTGGGAGAGACATGTGCTGTTGGTAAGG